TCAGAAGCCGAATACTTTGTATGCTTTGATGTCATCGATGATACCATCATACGCTTCAACCGTAGTCAATCGACCGCATGGCATCTCATTACCAAGGGCCCATAGGTATAGAGCGTTAGCGTCGTATCCGATAATTTTCTTGCAGATCTTACCTCTACGAATCTTCGTCTCGTTTCGCTTAGCATACCTGTTGAATATAATTGATGATCCACCAGCAATGTTAGCTTTCATTTTCCCGTAAATCTCAGATTCCTCCTTGTCAATCGAAAACACCAATCTGTCTGCGTTAAAATCAAGCAGTTTCTTGTATCTGAACCCCCTAAGAGACATATCTTTTCGAGCGGTGTTGCATGAAATGCAGCTGATCAAGATATTCCCATCAGTGTGCCCAAGATTGTTATTGATTCTATCAGCGGAAGCGGTATCAGCAGTCAGCTGACAATAGCATAGACCACACAGATACTTTTGCTTTTGCAGCAATGTATTCACGTGCTCGAGCGTCATACCAAATTTTCGTTTTGCCTTAGCAACCTGACTCTTGTAGCCAGCCATGCGCTTCGCTGGAAATCGGAATGCGTTAGCAGGCTTCTTATCCGGATATTGGAGATTATTGAAGCAGGTCTAATACATAACCTTCTCTGAAAGACCAGGTAGGGGCACTCCATCCGCAAACATATCCAGATCGAAGCGCTTAAAAAAGCTCTCGCTGAGCCTTGATAGCTTTGGTGAAAGGGGCTACGTCGAGATTATTGTACCAGATCAGTAGGTCTTTGATCGATTTCATCTCGTGGTAATCCCACATGAACTTCACTCGTTCGTAGTCATCGCTCGTGATGCTCGTTCCACGGAGCTTACTATCAAAAGCTGACTTAGGTGGGATAGTAGTCTGCTTTAGAACATTGAACGCGGTGATGTACTCGTAAGGGAAAAGACCCTTACCAAGACCACAGACACATCTAATTTTGTCATCGCATTTGCAGCCACCGAGATATGTTGTAAGATACTTGTCGTAGCTGGTGCCAGCTGGTACATAGTTAGTGATATCAAGCATTTACATGTCCGATGTAGCAATGCACATGTAGCTGGGGTTCTTGATGACAGATTTGACGTTGTCGGTACCAATTACGGCAAACAAATCTTTCTTAATCAAGTTAATATCATATCGACCAGAATTGAAGCCGAATACTGGTACCTGGTCAAGCTGCTGTTTCAGCTTCCCATAATCAGACCTTTGCTTACCAAAAACAAGACTGCGGTGAAAGTCAAAGAAGCTGGCATACTTTCCCTCCTCTTCAATCCAACTCTCCACATCAGACATCTTGTACTTTTTATCAGAATTAGCGCCTGGGACTTCCATACCTGTCAGACCATGTGCATTGATGATTTTTCGTAGAAGCGACATATATTTATTGACATTGTACTGCTGAATCTTAACCGATACATCACCAATGTAATTGAACATTTCGGTAAGTAGCATCTTTGGATCGTTATTTACAAAGCAACGCACCCCCTCGGTTATACTATCAGCTACTGATACCGACACAGGAATGTGTTCGTTCGTGAAGACAGTATTCTCCCCGTGTTGAGTCGCGGTAATCTTAAGAATGGCCTCAAAGTCATAAACGATGAAGTGATCGATGTACTGGTCAGTATTCCTGATTGAATACTTCGTAAGCAGTGATCGTATTACGTTCTGAGCTGGTTTGTAGATAGTTGGCTCAGCTGGGAAGCTTTCGATATTCACGAGCTCACATTGATTCTTTTTGTGATTTTTTACTTTTTCGGCGCTGACGGAAAACACTTCACACTTAGGGCATTGATAACTTAGCCTGAAGCTTGTCAATGGTTCTTGATGTCCAGAGCATGAATTCTCGAGCGAAAAAAGATCGCGAAGCTGCAATACCCCTTGTCCGATCTCCCACTCCCATTCTACGTGTTGCGGGAGGTACAGCCAGTGCGATTTTACGCTAATTTCGTATGTTGCAGAAGCGCTCAACCTCAGCAGAGGTGTTGGTATGCAGAGAGGGTTGAAGCTGTCTGACATGGTCTCCTAGCTATACTTCCCCCTCTA